TCACAGTACCTGCCAAGCTCACAGGATCAGATAGTAGTTCAATGCAAAGAAGAGGCTGCGAAAGCTTTCGAGCGCTGGCTAAAGACAGTACCGGAAAGCCATATGATCGTCTTCTCGGACGGCTCCAGGGCGACGAACGGAGCCGTGGGGTACGGCTTCGTCATCTACCGAGACTCCAAACGCATAGCGCAAGGGTGCGGCCGACTCGGACTAGCAGAAGTGTTCGACGCCGAGGTCGAAGGGGCGCGAACCGGCCTCAGAAGGGCTCTGCTCACCAATCGCGGTCATCCAATCCACATATGTATCGACAACACCAGCGTTATACAAGGCATCCGCGGCAAGGCGCCGGACTCGTCACAAGACGCGTTCCTCGAAATCCAAGAAGCGGCCAGGATATTTGATATACGGACGCACTGGTCCCCGGGACACCAGGGCATCGAAGGAAACGAGGCCGCGGACCGGCTGGCCAAAGAAGGAACGACACTGCCGGCGCGGATGGGTCAAATGGCAACACTAGCGGGCATCAAGCGGCTTGCAAGGGAAAAATTACAAAGCCAGCACAGGAGATGGTGGTATAAAGAGCGAAGGCCGCGGTACGCGGACTTGGGGCTTGAGGCAGCTCTGTCCAGCCCTCCTGAACTGGCCTTGCCGCGGGCTACGTTACATCACCTGCTGGCGGCACGATCGGGTCACGGGGACTTCGAGCAATATCACCGACGTTTCAACCACGACGACGCTCTAATGATGTGCTCTTGTGGAGAGGCGAAAGACGTGGACCACCTGGTCTACTGTCGACTAACGCTGGCGAGGAGGCAACGGTGGCCGACCCTCCACTCTCGCAGTATGCCCGAGCCCATAGGTCCTATGGGATCTCTCGAGGCCTACTTCAAGAGATTAATCACCGACCCACGAGGCTTCGAGGCCTTTCTCCGCGTGACGGACTTCTTCCAGAAGATCTGTCTGCGGTAGCAGCATCCACACCTAGGTAGATGTGAGTGCGGACTACAAAGAACCTCCCGATTCCAAGGGACGATTTGGGAAAGAATGAAACTGGGGCACCAGCGGGAACCGGGGACAGACAGAACGCGTAGTGGCCACAAGGCATGATTTGGAGGACGATGTAAAGAGACGACGTACTGTAGAGTAGGTAGCCTTGGCTCACGGCCCTCCACGCCATATACCCTTCGGGAGGTCTGCGGTAAGGGCTCTAGCCCGGCCGCCACGGCGTTAAATACAACAACAACAACAACAACAACAACAATCGACGAGTTACGCTATCACCACTCCCGCTCGCTTTGTCGGTTTCATGGAGCATCAATCCTTGATCATGTTTGAGTTTGAGGGTCTCACGAGAGACTTCATGTCAAAGGACGAGATAACGCGGCTTCGAGAAGGACCAGGCCAGATTGTTAGCGCAGTGGTCGTCGACAACCCAGCTCAAATCCGGCGCGTCATGCTCGGTGCCTGGTTACGCAGCGTTCGCGGTCTCCATGACTAATGTTTGCATGTTTCTGGTCAGCAAATATGGATTTTGCTGGAACCGAAGGGGGCGTTTGGAGATGAGTTCTTCATGGACGCGAATGGGGGCGATTGGGGGCGATTGGGGGCGATTGGGGGCGATTGATGTGGGCCTGAGGAACTTGCCGTGCAGAAAGGCTCACGTCTCTTATGGCATCAGCATTACTTCAGTTCTGTATCTGTAGAAAGGAGAAGCCTGAGAGTGGGATAAGGTATGCAGTAATAGCAACTTCTTAATTCGGTCATGTGTCTTGATTGTGCCAAACACAAGCCGCTGCTTGGCACCCATCGGGTTACCTCTAGCTACCTCAATGACAAGTCACCTCCTACAACCAAAATAGGCCATACCTAAGCAGTCAGTAGTGTCGCGAAATTTTCGCCTCTCATACATCGGTTTGAAGATAAACGCACGTATATAAGGCGTGGCCAGGCTAACAGTCTCCTTCTATTTTTATCACGCTTAATTCAAGCGTCGGAATAGAGGAGTAGGAGGAACTTTGGACTTTCAAACTTTTCTTCATATATCATATAAAAATTACTTCCAGTGACTGCCAAATTGGGGAAACGGGTCTTTAGAAGGATTGAAAAACCTCGGAAGAGCACGAAGGAGGGGATATGGTCACTAAATTCAGTGACCACACAAAGCCACGAATTCAGACCCAAATCCGATACTTATTTGGTCCGCACCCAGAGACAAACTGCGAACAAGGTAGGTGAGGTCGGACACACAGATGGACTACTACTCACTCTTGAGTAGCACTAAGCGTCATGTCTGACCGCCACCCATGGGATTGAAGTGCCGCAGTCCACGCATACCTTGTGCTACAGCAGTGATCTACTAGAGCTTACAGAGACTTTGAATGATTATTGCTAGTTACACGTATCAACCTTGCATAAAAGAGTTGATTAACGGTGCCAAACCTCCAAGCAGAATCCATCCATCTCCCATGGCGGCATCTCCGTCCTGTACTCCCAATACAACTTTGCATTGCCCCCAAGATTCTCTGTGTCCGTGTAAGACAACGTGTATCTTTGTCAATCCATCACCACCCCATCACCCTTCGATGTTCTTGCCAGATGTGCTCTTTTCTTACCCTCCCTTCTCAGAGGTAGAATCTTGTTCGCGGAATCGCCAAGTCTTAGTCGATGTTCGGGTCCTCACCTCGTTCCTCGCCTGGCTCCTCGCCTGGCTCCTCGCTTGGCTCCTCATACGGCGTCGGGCGACTGAAGATCATGTTGTGCATATTCGCGCGGTTCCGGAAGATGGTGTTAGGATAGAAGCGACGTTCTTTGGGCCGGCTGGGCTGATTATCGTCCGATTTCTCTTCGAGTGTCAGGCTCTCCAAATCAATGGGGTCCAGAACAGTGGGCCTCGAATCTTGCAACCCAGTGTAAGAGTCGCGCCCGCCAGAGATTCCAGCCAACAGTGACGACTGCGGCAAAGAGCAGGAGTCGTCCGAAGAGGGCCCGGCTGCTTCGTCTTTGTCGTTCAGGCTGGAGACATTCTCATCATGATCTTCCTCGGTAGCAAGCGTCGTTGAGACATGGGCATAATCTGAGTCCGCGGACTGTACCGAAAGGTCAGAAGTTGTCGCGACAGTCGGGGCAACCGTTTCCAGGTGACTGCCACTCTAAGGCTGTTCCTCGGGCAAGGCGCTTGTAGATGTTCCCTCGAGCTCGGACTCGGGTTCTAATTCCAGATCGTCGGACGCAAGAAAGGTATATTCTTCATTGGGCGTCAAAGGACCAAATGTTTGAACGACCCATTGGTCGAGCAAACGCGGGCGGTTGATGTTCGGACCTTTCCAATGGGCAGGGATCCAGCCTGCGAAAGACTCCAGTCTCTGCCAGCCGAATCGAAGGAACGGATGGGGCTTTGTTGGATAGTTCTTGTACGTGTCAGCAGGCTCCCTGCGCAAATCATCGACCAACGCCTGCCCATAGCCAATCAGAACAGCCCTGGGTTTCTCCAGCGGCTCACCGAGGTTTCGCATGGAAATTATAACATTGCTAGAGTGAAAACGGCAATGATCAACTCCAATGTACTCTTCCGACATAGTACCGTCCATGAGCTGCTTTATAGTATCCATTCTTGTATCGAGGTCTGTGGTGAAAGCATCGCGTGACTCGGCGCTGTTGTATAGCTCAACCACCTCATACTTGGGGCCATCAAGTGCAAAGAGTTGGTCGAGGCCGGTGCCATCGATAAATTCGGTTGCAAGCACCGCAACATCCCGGGTCCGGTCTGCGAACGATGGGTTGATCGACTTGACTTCCGTGATCCATCCTCCATAGAATTGAGGAGCGACATGGGGGAAGCCAGTGAGCTCCTTTTCAAAGAGGCGGTTATAGGCGCCGAATTCGTCACTGAATGCTGAGTCGGCCTGGATTGTGACTTTGATGAGGCGCTTGGTGATGTCGATGGTCTTGTGCCAGAACAAGGGATCGAACACCTTCAGGAAGAGTAGCTGTCCCTCAGACGGGATCTCATGCTCTCGTTCATTTGGGGCGGCCGATGGCGAAGCGACAACTTTGCAAAGGACTTTTTGGGGACCAGGATGGTATACAGCACTGCCGTCAATCATCCGAATGATCTCGACCTCCATGGAAGCAGCATGGTCATCTTGGTTGTTCTTGTCAATGGTCTTGGGCGCATTGTTCGGGTGGAAAACCAGTCGTCTGAGCGAAAAGGCCTTCTCTTCATCGGATATCATCAAGTCGCGAGAAGTCCAGCCATCCGGAAGCGGATAGTGATGATCGCCGTAGGGCGGAAGCGGTTTGTGTGATCGAAGAAGGAGTCGTCGTCCTGGCGAGTAATTCTTCTCGTGTTCGGGGAGAATGTCCATATCCTCCCTTCGACGTCTGGCAGCTGTCTCCTCAGAGGAGGAAGAAGAAGCCATGTCGTCAATCTCGTTCCAAAGACTGGTTCCTGCTACCTTTGGTTAGTCTGATGCTGGGTTGAACTGGTGGATGTAGACTTGCCTGTTGTCGCGATGATGAAGCGCACTTCCGCAATAGTCCGAAGCCCGCGATGAAAAGTTGGGCAAAGAAACAGACGAGAAATCACAAGCGAGGGAAGGGACCTTGTTTTAAGGCAAGCTTGGATGAATAAGGAACCTTGAGGTAGATGAAGGTGAGGATTGAAGGCGCCGACGTAGGTAGGCAAGGGCTTGGGACTACCTACCTTGTTCGGTGCCTACCAAGGTGAGGTGGTCAAGGAAGGGTAAAATAGGGGAGGGGGGGAGGGAAAGGCACAAAGGTGGTGCCTATCGCCGTTCCCCAGGACCTTCCAGGTGTGTCTGGTCGGACCCACCTCACTCACGGGAGCAGGTGGCAGGCACCAAGGATTTGGGTGACAAAAAAGTATGGCCTTCAACCCAGGATCATTCCAAAAACCCTCTTTTTACAAATACCTAAGGGGGAATAGGGGGGTACCCAGCAGAGGTGCGTTCAATCTATAGCGTATGTGGTGGTTTTTTTTCCGGCTTTACAGGCGCAAAAGATCGACCTTAACGGGATCAGGCTTTCAAGGGAAATCACACGATACGGTACACTTTTTAACTACACAATACGCGCAATGTGCCCCAAGCACGCGCTCAACGCAATATGGTGATTTCGATACGAAAACCGCTATGCAATTCGGGATGGGCAAGCTGCCCTTCACGCGGCGGCGCCGGCCGGAAAGGTCCACCGCAGAGGTCGGCCGCAATGGTCGATACGTATTAACCACGCTCAACACCGGAGGTCATGCAGCTAGCAGACTAACCCCCTAGGGGCATACCCCCCCTAAGGAGCAGGCCAACGGACCTCTGTCGTGCGCACCCCCCCTCCCGGGTAGGTACCTTAACAGAGACAGACTTAAGTTACTAGGTGGTTGGTAAACAATTGTGTCACCCACTGGGTAAGGTGAGGTACGTTACCTTATTACTCCCGTCTCCACTATTCATCAGGGCACGCCCTGGCCTCGTCCCGCGGCAATTAGAGACTTGCCGTGATGGCATCAACCTCATTCGAAAGCCCGTCGCTCACCACATGACCAGAAAGTGTCCCTGATCAGCCTGATCGATACAGCAAAGAAGAAAATACGTTACAAGATGGGAAGTCTGATAATGGTCCATAGACTGCTCCTGCATATCTTTTTGTGGACCAGGTGACTTTTGCCATTTGAGTCCTGTTGCACTCCCAATTTCGGCTCACTATGAAGAGCACAAAGCAAGCAATGGATGTCGAATGGGAGGGAGCCTTGAGTACGTGTAAGTTGGCGATTGCTCAATGTGGCTCAGCCTTCTGTTGGTAGTCAAGCTTGTCACTATATTCTCGGACTTGATGTTGACCAGCAAACTACTCTGACCCCCGAGTGTAGGCAGCTGGGCTCAAGAAAAGGCATCAGCCCTACACAAGGCAGCAAGGGAATATACATGCATCCTTGAAGGGGAATATGAGGGCCAGCTCCGGACGCGCCTAACTCACCTCAGTGTTTACCACCTTCACCTACCTTACCTCTGCACGCGTCTTTCCTTGAACCAGAGCTGACGGGACTACCGTACCTTATTTTTGTTTTCCCGGAAAAACAACGCCAAACCCACCAAGGGCATCGGAAGCGAATCAGGTGAAGCCTGGATGAAGAGCACCGGAAGTGACTAAGACAAGGGCAACACGTAGGAAATGGAGAAATGAGCTGGTGGTTGAGTTGCTGGTGAAGGGGTGGGAGAGGGGATAGGATGGAAATGTTGGCGTGTAGGATAATTGGACTCCGCCTGGCGTTTTGATACCTTGGGCGTGTTTTATCGATCATGAGGTTGGTACTTGCAATTGATTTGTTATTGGAAAAATCCTATTTAGTCTGTGAAAACATTGCTGTTGAAAAACATGTCAGCAAGGTGGTCTTTCAGCCGGCAAATCACCTACGGCAACGTGTGGTTCAGCAGCAACAGAGCACAAGCAGTTGATAGTCCAGCGGAAGCACTCGCCTCTCGGGCATCGGCTTCTTGACACGGGCACGCGTCTTCAACATGCACAAGTCGGGTTGCACCTTTGGTAGGCCACTACGGTTGCTTCCCTCAAAAGTATGGCATGAGCTGAGACGCATTGCTGTATGTTACAAGATAATTCAAGGGGTATTATTATCTGCACTATCAAAACTATAAATTCGACGAGATTGGTATTTAGGCGAGGGAAGCGCAGGTGAAGGGGCTGCTGATCTTTCCAGTCTTGAACTTGAGGTCCTATTCGAGACAATTAGCATCGTTACGCTTGAACGGGCATGCGCAGGGAAACTTACAATCTCAACAATACTGGCGTAGGTACCGCAAACCAGAACAACAATGCCGATGATGAAGGCAAGACCGTTGAGCGCAGTCTTCATGAGATTCTCCTTGGCGAACATGGAACCCTCGCGCATGAGCATGAACCACATCAGGGCGGGGAAGTAAAAGGTAAAGCCGGAGATGAAGAGCGAGGAGCTGATGGACAGAAGCTCGGAGAAGAAAGGGATAGCTTCGGCGATGATGAAGGCGATGATGGTGATGACGGTGATGAGACCGAGCCAAGTGATCCAGCCCATCTTGGTGTTGATGAAGCGGATAATGGAGTCCTTGTAGACACGACCGTGGATGTAGCGGCCGACGACGGTGGTGTTGATGGATCCTGAGATGAAGATAACGGGCAGGGCGACGCCGAATGCAATCTTGGAGATGGTGTTACCGGCGGACAGCAGGGCAGGGGACTTCACATCCTGGCCGACAAAGGCGTAGATGAGGGCGCCAGTGAAGGTGTAGATGAAGATCTCAATCAGACCAAGGGCCCAAATAGACTTCTTGTAGTCGGTCGGGGTGTGCATCTCATCCATGAAGGAGAACTGGCAAATGGCAAAGCTGTAGGCGAAGACAATGTTGGTGATGGCGATGAAGGCCTCAGCAAAGGTAATGCCCTCCTTGGGCCAGGCAGACCAGGGAGCGGTGGTGATCTCACCCCTGTTGATACCGGTCGCGATGATGGTGATACCGATGGCGAGAATGATGGAGACGAAATCAATGTATCCCAGGATGGCGACTTCGGCAAAGGAAGGGGGGATGGCAAGAATCAGCAGGATAATGGCGGAGACGACGGCAAAGACAATGGAGCACGCGCCGTCGTTGGTGATGTTGCCGAAAGCGATGGCGCCGGTGAGGGTGTGAGAGCTAACCAGGAACGTCAACTGAAGCGCGAACATGGCACCAATGATTTCGTAACCCCAGCGGCCAAACATGAGCTGACCGGCGTCGGCGTAGTGCGATACGTGAGGGAACTTGATCTTGACCGCACCGACGACGTCACTGGTGTAAATAGCCACAAGACCAAGACCAATGCAAAGGATAACGCCGGCGACCATACCGAGGGAGGCGAAGGCGGCGGGGAGAGACAGACTGCCGAGGGCGATGGCCTCGACGATGAGGACGACGGTGAGACGTTTCCAGCCGAGGCGGTGGAAGTGGGCGCTGCCCTGAGCGGCCTTTTGCTTCTCGAGGTCCTGGCGGTTGAGGTCGGTCACCTCGCCGACTACTTCGCCGGGGAAGACAGCATCGCGGGAAAATTGAGGGGTGACGGCGGCGCCGTCGGAGGACTTGGTGTCCTTGTTCTCGGCGGCATGAGCCTGCTGTTGTCTAATCTGGTCGTGATCCATGATGGGCTTCGTGTGTGTGTGAGGTTGGAGAGAGTGTGGTGTTTTTTGGTCTACAGTCCAAGTTTTGTGTGTGGCGTGGGGCCCGGGCGGAGGAAGAGGAGGAGGGGAGGAAGCTTTGACGGGATGATGTCAAAGGCGAGATGGTTGTCGTTGGAGGTGAGGGCGTTGTATGGGACAAGCACACACGGACGCACAACAGGACGGACCGGGTTGAACAGGTCTGACTTCAGCTGAGGAAAGAGAGAAGAGAGAGAGATGAAGAGTCAAGAGCCGGTTGGACTGAAAGAGAGAAACAACAACAAGAAGATGGGAAGACGGAGGCGGGATATATGGTGGCAAAGGGCGGAGCATCAGCACCGACCCCGGAGTCAGGCCGAGGGCTCGACCTCGTCGAGTTGAAAGCAATTCACCTCGACTGAGGCCCGGAACCTACGATGATTGGACCAGGGTCCTTATCTTTTGGCCCCCCCGCGATCGTGGGCGGTGACACCGGCACCTGGGAAATGGAATGGGATGGGGATGGGGATGGGTAGATGGCCTTACCACGGACGAGGGACGAGAGAGTGGGCGAGTGGGCGGCAAGAGTTCGTCAGCCAGATTACCTAGATGGCTGACATACGGATACTCAAGTCCCACGGAAAGCTCTGCTATTCGACGACTCGTACTTTGTACAAAGAATCATCAACCCGGCCCCCCTTGCTTTGGGACCAGATTCCGTGCGTTTGTGAAATTGCGGGGGAATAAACCGTTGCAGACTTTCCCCGCGAAATCGACCAGCGTCCCTGAGATTCCAGAATTGACACATTGGTCTTTGCGTGAGGCCGCGTGCTGCTTCCCCGAGTTTCCCAGTGAACAATTGTATTTCTCGTTGTCAAGAAAACTAGGACCGCGTGCCAGCAAGTTGAGGGTTGCTGACGGGGTTGCTGTGTTCGCGGTCGTGTAAATGCGGGACTGAGGCAATTGGTAGAGTTTTTGCATCGTAATAGGGTGGATATTGTGACCTATTCTTTACCTAAAGGACCCAGAAGCAGAGCCGCAGAGTGGCCTCATCTCGCCCCCCCTTGAGTCAGTCCATGTTGCTGTTCCCACGGGCGACCCCGAAATACGACCGGTGGCGCGCTGGGAAGAGGCCTGACGTGACTGGGATTTGAAGAGAGATAGTCTGAGCTCCTTCGAAAGAGGAAAACGGACGAAAGAGAAAACTTTGCCTTATCTAGAGTTGCTGAAACTCGAGCGAGGAAAAGAGCGTCATAGGTGACCTTGAACATTGGACGTTGGGCCAAGAGTATGAGGCTCAAAAATTTTCAGACGAAAACGAACAAGAGCCAAAGCCAAGAGTGACGATTGCCGAACAAGGGGGGAGGGGGCCTGAGCCCGTCCGCGGGAAAAGACTCCCATAGGTTGTCATGCTGTTCCCTCGGATCTCTCCCACCCTTCCACCCTTCTACCCGTCCCCCTCCTCCCCTTCGAGTTGCCTTCCCGCGCTGCCGTAGGCCATTTCTGCAAGTCTTGGATTGTCTTGAGTGTCTTGTCTCGATGCGCTAAACCAGTCGTGGGTTGCAAGGCCGCTTACCCGCTGAGGGCCGCAAAGTTAGACGTAATAGCGCCGCCGCGGTCCCGTACATTCCCGACATCCTTGACTCGAGATCCATGCCGATCCCACTCACACTGTCACTCATTGGGAAGGCTTCTAGAAGATCGACTGGAAGGCCCCAAAAGGCTTGTCGACGCCTCCTACGCACTTCCCTGCAGATGTGGCCACACAAAGCGCACAAAGGGCTGATCCCCCCCCCCCCTGCATATGCCCGTCTTCCCCGTCCAGGGCCGCCTGTTGAGCGAGGCGAGCAAGGCGAGATCTCACGCGACGCGGGTTTTTGGAGCGAGTATCCATGCCAGACAGACTTCTCTCGTGCGTGAACGGAACCCATACGGACCCTGTTTTTTTGTGTGTCTTCTTTTTTCTGCCGGTTCTTTAGGCGAACTCTGACTGGCCACAGAGGCTTTCTGCTCAATAATTTGACATACAACCATTACCAACCGCAGAGATAACAGTTTCGGAGTCTGGTGTGGTTTTGGTGGGTGGTGAGAAAGGAGGTAGCATTTACGCCGAGTTCTCGCCCGACATAAACAGGACACATTCGTGGCAAAGCGGAACTGGTTTCATGGACATTAGGCGGCAAGAAAAAAAAAGAGTGACGAGAAAAACGCAGCACGTCGATGAACAAGGCTAAACAAGGCAAACAAGGCCATGGATAACAAGTATGCATCAGCAGGTTGTATTGGCGTCTAGTTGACTGTGATAAAGTAGCTGATCTACCGCGTTCGGCGGATCCCAAGGTTCAAACTTGCGTCAAACGACTCGGCCGTTGTGCCGCGAGAACCGAGCTACACAGCTTTGGCGTGCGAGATCTTCGTACGAAGGAGCAACTGGAAGCGGTTTGCGACGGGCTTTTGCTCGCTCCTCGTTACCGGGGGGCGGCCAGCACGAGCAGGGGGCACGGGGTAAGGGACATGGACTGAACGAAGCTGTTGGCAATTCCGATTGTGTCATTGAATCCGGGGTAGAACTGCGGGGATGGGGCCGGTTTGCGTTTGTAATTTGTTGAAGGGCGCGCGCTGTTGGTGTGGTGGTCATCCTCGAAATTATCGTCGCACCCTGTTCTGAACCGGTCTGGTCGTTCCTCGAGATGACATTCCTCCAAACCTGAGTCGTGCCATTCTTTTTTTTTTTTTTTTTTTTTTTTTTCTCCCATGCTGCCATGTTATCATGATGTTCCCAGCCCATGGTCCCTCTCGGTTTCAGCCGGACGAACGCATCAACGGCCGAGATTGCTGCAACTCGGACCATCCCAGCCGCTGACCACTCCGAGAAGCGGACGATATCGCAAGCTGGAGTCCCCGATCCATGCATTCCTCGCGCGGTGAACGCTCCGGCCACACACGGGGAACCCGCGAGCAGCAACTGGGCCAATCCTGTGTCCGTTATTTGACGTTGTGGGAACTCCAAGTGGTTTGCTGCATCCGTGCATTTTCGCCATTTCTACATGACACCAACACCACCACCAGTACCGCCTTGGCCGCGCTCCCACGTTGCCCACACTTCATCCAAGACTGGTAAGCAATGCTTATCCCGCCAGAGGTACCCGGAAAGGAGTTGCTGCAGATTCTCACGCCTGCATTGTTCCGGCGGCAAAATACCCCTGGCTCGTTCCAGCAAGCTATTGAGTCTCGACGAGAACCACTCACGGTCCTCGGTTGTTCCGGACCCGACGATGCCCACAAAGAGAACCCACAACAAGGCGGCATCGTGAGACACCCAGATGAGTGCAATGGAATCCGCGTCATCGAGGGCGTCGCGCATCCTCCTGACGAGGACCCGTACCATGTGTCCCGTCGTCGGGATCTCTCGCAAGACGGTATAAAGAAAAACGTGGGCAGCAGAGACCAGAACTAGGAACCGTTTCTGCACTGGCGTAGCTGTCCGGCGCTCCACGTATAAAAAGTGCAGAATTGTGCTATCGGCCGTGTTCATGACGATCCTGATGTCGTCTGCGGACACGGACACGGCACCGCCTGCCTGCGAGAGAATCGCCTGCCTCAGCGCCACAAAGATCCTCAGCGGCTCGTCGCTCTCGTCGGGGTTGTGGCCGCCGAGCTTCTCCAGGTGTCGCAGGGAAGGCGTCCTTGCGCGGTTCACGACCGACGGCGGAAGAGACACCTGCCCGAGAGTGTGGAACATGGGGAACTTTGGCACTCTTCCGAGACCCGAGGCTACTTGAATGTCGATCCTGGGGGAGGGATTCTGGTCAGTTACCGTTCGTTGTGGAGGGCAATTGAAGGAGGTCAAGTCACCCACCAATTGATGCAGCGGCAGAGGATGTAGTCGTGTTTGATCGTCTCCGGTCCCCCTCGAGCTTCTATCATGGCGTGGAGTCCCGTCAAGTGGACGTTTGCCGCCGAAAAGTGACCTTGAAAAGCCTACCAAGCAACATATGTGTGTGAGAACTGGAGCATCGAAGTGAGGTGGTGGTATTCGTATATGAGTGCTAGGAAATCACTCACTTCGACGCTTCCCAACATGGCCACGCCGGCAAGAACAGAGAGGTCATTGCTTGCACTACGGGCAGATTCTTGAGAAGCTAGACGATCTCTGATCATCCGCATCGCCTCCCCCTTTTGCTTGTACCCTTCCCGTTGGAGCTTGAAGTCAAGAAGAGGCATGGTGGCGGTCAAAAACTCTGCTGCCAAGGCCAGCGTAACGCGCATGATGAGAGCGCTCTGCGTAGCATAGGGAAACCATGGTCTCTGAGTATCGATTGTAGTGGAATTGAGGTTGAATCTGGTGGTGACTGGAGAGTTAGTTCAGATGCACAGCACCAACGCGGCGTGACGGCGTCCGGCTCGTGAGCGGTAGAAGCTGCGACTCTTACAATATTTCACCAGAGAGTCCACGCAAGGACTACTGGGAATAGGTAGCGTATTGAAGGGGTCAGCGCTATCGCTCCCCAGTCTCTGTACCCAGGGTGGCAGCGATGCTTGGTGCAGAAACTCAGCAATGTCGGGTGGAAACTACGGAAGTGTGAGTGATGATGGCCTGAGTCTTGTGGAGAGATGGGGACAAATAGCATACATGGGAACGGCGAGTTGACTGCACATCTTCTTGTTCTTTTTCTTGTTCTTGCAGATGCTTTGGACTCTTGGGTTTGGTTGACTTGAGCGTTGTTCCCGGCAACCTGAATCGTCCCTTCAACTGGGCCTTCTGCTTGATGGTGTTTTGTGAAATTGAGGCCGTCGAGGATCCCAGCTCCGAACGGCCTCTCTGGATGGCAGTTCGGATAGCATGACTTCTAGTGGATTTGCTCGCAGTCGGGAAACTCCCTTCAGTGGCATCGACGGTGATGAACTTGAAATCAGATTTGGGGCCCATGTCAAGGGGAGTTGGACCAGCCTAGGGGCCTCTTTAAGGCTGATGCCTGGTCTGATCTCTAGCGTCACACGCCAGTACTGTCCACATCTCCCACGATCAGTCGTCGTTATGCTGCCAAGATCAATCTGTCGGCCTTCAATATCATCAACCCCTGGATTCGTGCTCAGTAAGGCAACGAGCTAACAGAGGGGCAACAAAGGACAACAGGACCCCCCGCTGCACGTCAACAGCAACAAGCCTGATTGGTTAAGGCTCACTAGACTTGGCTAAGGTTGGTGAATAAAGTTGGTCCAAATGCCGCGCTCAATGCTGGGAGTTAGTCATCAACCAGGTAAAATGGCCCGAATCCTTTGCGAAGGATCGCAAGTTGAGGGGGATACGGAGCAGCTGAGAGCAAAATGGAAGGCAGAGAAGGGGGGGCAGATTGGCCGGCGAAGGTACGTACCGAGGCCAAGACTGACACTGATAAGACGCTTGCCTAATTCGATTTAGCGATTCTTAGATCCAATCGATGCAGCCAGTGAACGCCTGTCGCTTAAATGAGTGGGGGATTGCTCTCCAATCGAGGCACGTGAAAAGCAAAGGGCACGTGACAAGGGCAGCATTCATCCGACAGAGATACGTACCTATCCCAGTTCCAGGCCCGACGTTCGTCCGTTTTCGGCCTCCGAGCGGACGAAGCGGACGAAAGATGCGTAAGCACCCATGACACGAACATTATCAGTGAGACAGACAGCAAGCCAGAACTGCCCATAGCAGTTGATCTGGGCTTCTCAAACGAAATCATGCCTTCGATATCACTTTTGGTTTTTACTCGGGGAGCTTTGATATCTCGAGTCATCTTCTCTGTTGTGATATTTGGTTGTATGTAAAGGCAGCATTCGTCTTCAAGTCGTTTGGTTTGAAGCCTACAACAACAACATCCGAAAAGATGGACGAACGACCGACAAAGAAACGTAAAGTCCGAAAGGGAACACGAAGTTGCTGGCAGTGTAAGTTCGTCCGTGGAAGTGCTCCGGTTTCCCGAGCGAGATCCAGCTCTGCCGAATTCCCCGATACAATCGCTATTCTTGATTTACTAACACCCCGTCCAGGCAGGAAGAGAAAGATCCGCTGCGAATTCTCCTCAAACGAAGAACAAACCTGCAATGGTTGCCAGGCTCGCGGTGCCGCCTGCGTAAGCCAGGAGTTCACCGATGATGAGCCGTCCGGCCCGCCTGAGCGCGGCCTTGCCCAGCGTCTTGGTCGGTTGGAAGAGTTGATGGTGAAGCTTGCCGACAAAATGGGCCCAGAGCCTTCATCGGTCAACAAGTCGACCCCGCCAACACCGTCGGTCGAGGGTTCCCTTCGTGTTTCCGATTCAAATGTCACCCCGGATGATTCGTCCTGGCAGTCCGTGAGTGGGACCACCGCCGTCTCTGCCCCGATTCCCGGCCGCCCCCTATCCCAATCCGCACTAAATCGGCCTACGGCGGAGCGTCCTCGTGCTGGCAGCAAGTACGATAAGATATGCCGCGACATTCACTCCGTCTTCCCATCTCTCCAGGATGCCCAGACCATCGTCCAGTCAAGCAGAGGCCCAATATTCGTATTAATCATCTTTTACTCATACCAAGATATTCTCGAGGGCAAATCTCAGCCGACTTCTTCCCTCACTGCCATGCCGGGTGTCGCCAAGCATCCGGCTATCTTGGCAAAGCATTTGCTTCAGTTGACCATTTGTCTGCAGCAGATGCCGCCGTGCTTCGACGTCTCTCAACTCGAGGCATGCCTAAAGTGCTCCATCCAGGAAAAGATGGCAGAGTGGACAGCAGCCGCCAGCGCGGTCACCTCCAACGACGAGTTGGTGGGTTCTGCAGAGGGCTTGGAGTGTCTCATTCTCGAAGGGTTCTACCTCGTCAACTCTGGCAACCTCCGCAAAGCATGGCTTGCCATGAGAAGGGCTCTTAGCTTGGCACAACTGATGGGCATTGAGCGTGATGGCTCGCGGCCGTTGAAGTCGTGTGATCCCTCAACCGACCCTTCTACGATGCCCTCCTCTCATGCGCTGTGGTCCCGTATCAATTCCTGCGATCGATACTTATCTCTTCTCCTCGGTCTCTCTGCCGGCACGCAGGATAACAGCTTCATGTCGGAAACCTTTCTGGTCCGTGACACGCCGATGGAGAAACTGGAAAAGAGATATACGGCCATCTCGCTCCGAATCATTGAGAGAAATCGCACTGCAGCGACAGAAGCCTTTGCCATCACTCAATCTGTAGACTGTGAGCTCGAGCACGCGGCAAAGTCCATGGGACGTAGCTGGTGGGAGATCCCGCCTGTGCCCGACTACACCGACACAACCGGCCAAATGAGTATCATGTCGCACCTGATGCTCCAGATTCACCACCATAGTTTGCTCATCCTGTTACATCTCCCATACATGCTTCGCAACCAGACAAACACCCGGTTCGACTACAGCAAAAATACGTGTCTAGAGTCCAGTAGGGCCGTCCTGAGACGATGCGTCATCTTCCGCACCGCCAACAACGCAGCATTCTCGTGCCGCCACATTGACTACTCATCACTCATGGCCGCCATGACGCTTCTTCTCGGCCACCTCAGTCGTCCTCCTGGTATTCGTGAAGAGGACTGGGCGAGACAACGGAGCGAGGACCGGACCTTGGCGGAAACTGTCCTGGCCAAAATGGAGGAACTAGCTGTGCTAAATGACGACAAGCTATCCGGCGAGAGTGCAGAGATTATCAAACAGCTGCTTCCCATTGTCGACTGCTGTAACGGGGTAACTCCACGTCATTGCCCGGAATCAGAGGTAAAGAACCTCCAGTTGAGCATCCCTTATCTGGGAATCATCAATATCAAAACCACCGCAAATCAGACAGCCGAGTCGCACTTGCTGGATCTAAGCCACTCGCAGCTGCCCACACCAGCAAACACAACGACTGTGGCATCGGAATCTCTCCAGCAAGACACTCCTCCAGCAGTATCCTTGGAAGCACTCCTCGGACAGGACAACACCATCCCCCACGAGGACGTGTGTGCGGGCTTCAGCGCCGATTATCTCGGATGGCCATGCCCTGGCATCACGGCAGAGGCTGGGGACTGGGCGTTTCAAGGCGTTGATACAACTTATTGGTCCCTTCTGAACAGCGGCATGTCAGGCAACTTTTCTCAATGACGATGCCATGCGTACAATGCCCAGCTAGGGACGGGAAATGCGTATTTGAATCTCTTTGAGCTGTTCAGACGCTGAGGAAGATGGGCTGTATTGCAACGAGTCTTTCAAAAAGAGGGATCAACCCCTTTTTAGTCATCCAGGGCGCCCGAATCTCAAAGCGCATAGTCAAGGAGGCATCCAAGGTTGATGTGAGACCTGCTCATGCCTGAAGAACGTAGCCTGATTTACGCATCCACTACTGAACTTCTGTTGGACTCTGCCAAGTATTGTCACTCTGCCGTTGGGCGTGCAGAGTCGCAGGCCCGCTTCAAGTCGATTAATAGCGCAGCCTGAACAGGCAAGGGGTCATGCTGCTATTGGACCCTGTGATCTGCCCAAACTTGGACCAGAAGGCGCAGCACTTGATCAGAACTACCAATTGTCCCCGGCAAGTCGGCTAGCTCCTCAGTCTCCTCTCATAGCTGGACTCCTGAACTCAGAAAGCCAACCAATGAAAGCGGATCGACAAGGTAGAGACCCTTCAACGGAATGCTCAAAAAGACACGATACATGTCTGAGCCTCTGGGGCAAATATGTATGTGTAACGCTAGCCTCAGGACTCAGGTAGTTCCTGCAACGGAAACAGAGGACAAGGAACCTTTGCCATTTGGTCGTTGCAAGTTGAGAATGCAGATGGAAACAAACCGTACTTCATTTCTCGCTTGGTCGAAGTCGGGAACCTTCGCAGATCCATGAGCCCGGCTCACAACAAGGCTTTCTCGTAGCATTCCGATGATACATACGGCTCGGCACATACAGCTTCTGGAAAAGTGAACATGTTGGACTTTCTCCTTACCTAAGCCAAGCTGCCAAGAGGGGTCTTGGCGCAAACTTTTCAACCCGGATGAGGCTTGCTTGCAACGCTATGTAGTTGGGTATTATATAATTACCAGAAAGGGGGAACTGGGGCTTAGCAATGCGACTCTACAGAATGCAAAAGTGCTGTCTAATGGATGACTTTACCATGGCCCCGGCCAGCCAGCCAGACATTGCTAGATGAATCCCACTCGGGCAATTCGTGCACCACTTTAACTACGTGGGCCACCATCATTTGTGCAGCACACCGGGCAGAAAACCAGCGCCCGGATCGATACCCGAAAAACGCACTGATGGGGCTGCCAAGGGGGGTTCCAGAGCATGGGCACCTGAGACTGTAATCCATCAAGGCTCATGTCCGACAGCCGCACGAGAGTCCATGACTCGTCGCCGAAGCAGAGTCCAATCAGAGCTTTGTTTCTATACTACATACGGGGACTTGGGGGCGCGTTAGGGGCACATTGGGGGCACACATTGTACAGTTTGGTGGTCCGGATTCCTCATACAAATTAGACTTATGCTTAATTCGCTACGCAACCATGAAGAAGGAACAGACTCTAAGAATCAGCAGAATATTGTACGAGAGTCACGAGACCAACCAGCTTCCCCGGCCAATCAGGGCATTGGGCAAAGAGGAAGGACACTTATTCCGCCTGGGTTCTCAGATCCACAAACCGTCGACTGATGCCAAGGAGCAAAGATCCATCACGGCCGTCCCGATTCGGTAACTGACCCTTAGGGACGTGAAATTGCCAGACATGGGGAACACTCGGCCGCTGTCCGGATTAGTACCCTCTCCACGTCTCTTTTCGACCATGGCGGAGATGCGGCTATGACCCGTGAGCCATTACTGGTTGAGTAAAAGGGCCCATTGAGATCCTTCAGCCTCAAAAGTGGACAGCGACGACCAGGGGAGACTACTTGGACAAAGGGTCTCGAAGTTCTCGGTTCTCGATTCTCGGAATAGACTGCTTTTGGATATTGTCGATGCAGGCTGGTTGAGTGAGGCACTGGCGGCTATGGCAAGATCCCTAGGCTTTCTGAATCATTGCCAGAAATAGGACTCTGGTCAATACGCAGAAGGTAGACGAGAGGATGTGAGGCTCGATATAAGGAATGAGGACGAAGGATAAAATGGTCACAGGTCGCTCTCATCATCAGCTTGTTCTGGGAATACTCAGTCTTCATCCAGTCTCGACTCTCTCTCTCTCTCTCTCTCTCTCTCTTTCTTGTACCCGCAGCGGCCTTGACTCTCTTTTACGTCCTGGAAACCAAGAAACCAGAATCGCAATTCAACTTTCCTCAAAGCTTGACCGTCATTACCTTTGAACACAATGATCTCTCCCGCTCTACTCGCAGTATTTGGTCTGGCAGCTACCGTCATTGCCGCGCCTCCCCGCCCTCGCATGCTAACTGCCGACGATATCATTCTCCTCGGCCACGATGGCACCTCCAAAATCATGAAAGCCACAGACTACGATGCTCTCGAGGCTGCCACCCCGATACCCGCACAAATCACATCATACAATGTCACAAGTACACCTGGCCTCACCCGTCGCGGCTGCCAGCAGAGCACCGAGATCCAAGTCACGTCAGATGAAGAGTTCCTCAACTGGGACATTGCCATCTCCCCCGTGGCTTCCTCCTTGGAAGGTAGCTCCGCCGGCATCAGTATCTCCAACGGGGTCGAAATCAGTAACTCGCTCGCTATCGGTTCTGAGATCACCATCGGGGGCTCAGACATTATCAGCGTGTCTTTGGGCATGAATCTGGACATGTCCTGGTCTACTTCCCAGGAAAACTCCCTCGAATTTGATATCCCGGCGAACATGTACGGTGTCATCGTCAGCCAGCCTTTTGTGCGTCGCATCCAGGGTAACTTGTTGACGGGGTGCACGGACAATCCGACAAAGACGACTTTCATGGCGGACACGTACGAGAGCCAGGGCTACGGCCAGCTGTCTTGGGTGAAGGGTGTCATTCGGCTCTGCACGAGCAAAACTTATCCTATTCCCTACTGTATTGGCGAGGGCCAACACAAGTGAGTGGAGTCACGTGTCTGGGTGGTGTTAATCACTTTTTGTTTTCAAAATTTGGAAAGGGTTCTGATGCGTTATTTTGGGCGCAATATGTTGCACATTTGATAGAGTACTTGAGGAGCTTAGCATAAAAACATGAGCATGGAGCTTTAGATGCGCAGCTCAATGGTCGAACGCTGGCAGTTTAGGCCAGACTAAATGTTTCTCGTTACAAGTAACCTCTGCAAAAGTCCTTGTGAACATGCCGAGATAAGTCAGCACTGAACGTTTTCAAGTTTCCGAGATGCGGGAAATAGAGCACTTATAGTCTGTGTTTCTTGACTGATCACTGGAAATCACCAAGTCCCAGGTAAGGTACTATCAGTGTGTAAGGTTGGGTCAACACGACGTGATGTAGGCAAATTCATCATAGACATCGCTACCTAGAACGGAATAATTCTTCAGCTTTCACCGCACCAAATAATCAGCTCATACTCTACACTTGGCTTAATTTGACTATAGGTGGCCAGGAATGGCACAGACTGTTTCCTCGCAGTATCAGTCAGTACGTTAAGAGACCGCAGGGGTTGGAACTCAAACGTATTCAATTTTGTCATACGAACGGCTGGCTGTTGGTGGTGAATAACTTACCCCAAACAATTGAACATAAGTTTCAAGTGAGATGCTCTTACTCTTTGAAACCAGGATTATATTTTCTCACGCCCACGTCACAGTTTAGAATCACGTCAGGAATTGCGCGCTTCAGAATTATTGTAACCAGACCTTACTCTTTGATGACTTATGGTGGCTCTACGCGAATTCCGCGTTACGCATCGACACCTTGGAGGAAACAAAACGCCGCGGCGCGAAGCAAACGAACTTTGAATCTTTAGCAAGCCGTAGTATGGAAAAAGTTAAGCACTTCTATTCTCTAGTGACTCTTAGATCGAATAGGACCATGGAACGAAATTGTGGTCAGTAACTGGTAGAGAGATTGATAAGATGAACACTTGTTGTAACCAGACTTGGTCAAGCATGATGACTCCAATGTAACGCAACCCACACAGTAAATCACGCACTTGACCGAAAAGGGACTACTGTCAACCAGAAATTCTGCCCGTCCGGATTGAACTATCTCCTGCTAGTTGAGGAAGAACTTATGTCCTCGCGGACGCAGCGGGCAACTAGTCGGTATCCTTCTAACAATATAAACACTCCAACCTCCTCATTTACAAGTTTATTATGCACGAAATACAACATAGAGATGGCGTTATGTCAGGTAGAATTAAAAACCGGGCATACCGCAATTCTGGTGTAACATTTACATTTAGGGCTGCGGTGTATTAAACCGACGCCACTTGGTTCTGTCGGCGATTGGGGAACTTGGCTCATGCACCCAAGAATCCTTCAGCAATTCTTCAGCAACAAGCGAACAAATCCACACCATGCGCGTGGTCGTCTTCGGCGCAACAGGCGGACAGGGCATCGCCCAAATCTCAGCCCTCAAGGCTGCAAATCACGATCCGATCGCTGTGAGCCGGCAACCCCGCACTACCTCGCCGCCCGTTGAGACCCGTATCGCAGAGCTCACCGACCGGTCCGCCGTCCGTGCTGCTCTGTCCGGCGCAGAAGCCGTGTTATTGAACTTGCCTTCCTTTCAGCCAGCTGATTTTCTTTATGCTGCCGCAAAGACCATTGGCGCAGAGGCCGCTGCGCAGTCGTCGACTCTGAAGATCATTGTGTTCAACACGAGCTTTCCTGTCCCCGAGAAGAATGTCGGCATTGAAGCTCAGGAGCATCGCCGGGAGACACGCCGGATTTTGCGGGACGAGGTCAAAGGCAGTGGCGTAGCATTCGTATCGATTCAACCCGGCGTTTTCCTTGATAACCTACTGGAAGGCTGGGCTTTGCCGCGCCTTCGGGACGAGGGGCGCATAGTCTACTGCCACAAACCCGACCTCGAGGTGTCGTGGATTTCTCTTGATAATCTGGCGCTCCTAATGGTCGCAGCCTTGGCACGAGACCCGGCGGAGCTCGACGGAAGGAACATAATCGTCGGTGGGCCGGAGACGGTGAAACTCTCTCAACTTGCCGAGAAGTTGGGCCGTGCGTGGGGCCGAAAGGTTGGGTTTGAGAATCAGACGGTGGACCAATTCTCTGAGGAGATGGCTGCGGCATTGAAGTCTCAGATGCAATCCGGTAAAGAGTTGGAAGTCGTCGTGGACGAGACGAGAAGGGCTTACACGTGGTACAATGATGCCGAGGAGAAGCCCTTCAAGGTGAATATGGCGCCCGTGTTGGAGGAGCTGAAGGTTAGCTTGACGGGGATTGAGGACTGGGGGAGACTCAAGGGCTGCCCCATACAGATCAAATAAAACCCACGATGTGCTCACTGTCGGAACAATGAAGAAGAAAAATAGTGTTTCGCGAAGCCAGCGTGGCGTCAAGTTCTTTCAAAGTATCCGAAATAGCTCGTCCTCTTGGTGCCAGACCTATGGTTGAAATCTTCGAGGAAAAGACATGATTTACACCAACCTCGCCATTCAAGAGAGTAAATCCAGAGCCTGAACTGTTCAAGGCCTCGTTTACTGCTCTTGAGTTGCCCCAATAACGTCTACTCTTTCACTGGCTCAGTACGATCTCGCCGCTGACCTCCCTGTCAACAACGTTAGGCAGCCGAATTTGACAGCACGCGATGCGAACACTCACATCCTGATTATCAAATGTTTAGGGATGTATAGCTTATGCTACCGGTCCGGTACCAGTCATTGAATACTCGATCTTTGGTTAAACGTGTATCTTCACCTCAGCACATTATCCGTCATGCTCATATCGATTTCTCGAACCTCAATCTTTCAGCAATCCATCAAGACTGCCGGAGTAAGCGGCCACGACCCTGCGATTGGTTCAGGCCTTCATCTGGTCAAGCTCAGAACATGGGAGCCGAATGCACCGACCTGCAACGGCAACGCCGAAGCTCACCTTGCTCCTTGATACCTTGGGATTCATGAGTAACTCAAGGGAGATTCATAATTCAATGAGACTATCCGTTGGATTGTGAGCTACTATTTGCGAGCGAGTCTTCGTTTGATTTCCCCTGTTGAGGGTATGGGCCTTGTACACCTAGTCTTGAAACACCTTTTGCCTCTTAAATCAAAGTCCTTCCTCAAACATCAATTTAAATTACTTTGAATCTCTCAAAGGCATCGACAGCACTCTCTATTTGAGCCTCCATGTCCACACCGTTGATGTACATCCCACCTTCCCTCATCTTGGCCTTCATCTCATCCAAGACAATTTCGTGAGGATCGCGGCTATAAAGTCGCCCGTAACTTCGCGTAATCTCTACAATCTTTTGACTCCTGGGAATTCGCACTTGGTCATAGGCTTTGAAAACGGCTTCAACCTCGTCCAGGGATGTCAAGCGCAAGAATATACCGGTGAGCACCGAGCAATCCTCAATTGCTTGTGCAGCGCCGTTGCCAGAGTGAGGAAGCGTCCCGTGGGCGGCATCATCGACCATGGCTACCCTTCCTCTATAGTAGGAGGGCGCGTGGTCATGGTCTTGAAGAGTCCAGTCCTATGTGTGCCCTTTCTCTAAAAGCTAGAATGTGGCTGTTTAGATGACCATGATGTTATGAGGAATAAATAGAAACTATGAAACTTACAGATATCAAGGCATCTACCCCGGGAAGTAGACCGTGCCTTCCCAGAGTTAAGGGTCGAATGGAGCCCCGCGTTCCGGGTATTTGGTATCCCTTTGATAGCAGCCCACGCTGAACGTCTGGCCAAGGTCAAGCGGGATTGCGTTGATGAACCCGTAAGGTGTACAGTACGTAATGACTGTGTTGACCGACTCTACAGGGACGACCATTTTGGCTTCAGACATGGGGACGGTGGTGTGGAACTGGCGCCATTGGTCGTGATTGACTGAAGCTGCGCTTAGATGATCAGGCCCAAGAATAAACTTTCTCGTCGGGCTGTTGACACCTTCTGCACCGAAAACAATATCAAACACATCTTGAGTGCCATATTCGAATGCAACGATGATTTTCCGTGCAAAAGGGTCTTCCTCCATTTTAGCGACTCGCTTGCTGAAGTGAACGCGCTGATGCGGAACCACGTCTTCTTCAAGTACCTAGTCCTTGTATGAAGTGCGCGCGGTGAACGGTCCGCCTGCCCTTGGCCCTTCCCAACCCAGCAAAGATAACTCCAGCGTATTCACCACTGGCTAATTTGAACTGTATTGCCATTTCCGTGTCCTCGTCACCAGCCATGAAGTGTGATTCCTTGAAATAAGCCCGCTTGATCTTGGGCGAGATCAAATCCATGGCTCTGATGGCGTTTCCATGTGGTGCAAGACCGGACCAGCGGACTCGGATGTCTGAATATCTCTCAAACAGCTGAACGTCCAAGAGTGGCTTTTGGAGAAGACCAACAGCTAGGCAGCAGCCGGCGATACCGGCGCCCAAGATGCCTACGCGAATGCGACTTGCCTCAAAGTTCTCTCCCATTATGGTTGAGTATCAGGTTGTGTTCTGGAAGTCTTGTGTCGGTTGAGACCTGAGCCAGTCAAGTGCGGGGTTGGCGAGCTTTGATCTAAGATTCTCTGGAAGTAGAAAGAGGGGTCAGGGGCCATGCCGAGAACATCCACTTGGCTGTTTGCTTGACCGCGGACCAGACGAATACAGACCTATGCTGTTGGTTGGTGAATGCAACGCATCATGCCATTTTGCTCCACATACCCCCTGTCTCTGAGATATCATTCCATGGAGATCGTTGACAAAGTGGTCAGGGCCTTCAAATCATGATTCGATCCAATTAGCGGGACTGGGAGACTTTGAGGTGAAAACTACCGTAGCTCGTTGAGATGGCTTTGGCCTATTGACAGTGACATTTTCAACTTTTGTGGCTCAATCATAGTTTTCTGTAGCCTACTAAAGGCTCATTGAGGCGCGTGCGCTGGATGATCGAAAGGGTTCAAAAGTTGAGATTTTCACTGTTGATTCTGTTAAACCTGATCTGACTTGTCTTGAACGGTATGATGGGTTCCGCTGTTTCAAACATGTCTGTATACAGGGGGGAGATTGAGAATCAGCAGTCATGACAGCGGCTACTTCATTCTGATTGAATCCAAGTACGTTAGACCTCTTACCGAAATATCAATATATAACCTTCTAATTCCTTCGATAGCTAAGTGGTTGTTGGAAGTCGATGCAGTTCCTTGTGCCATGTCAACCTCTTCCCGAGTCCTCGAGAAATGACATGCCAAGTCCTAATTTCTCTGAGGCAGGGATAAATATCTCTCAGAACGCTTCAAAACTTTTTCAATTGGGAGAGTGTGATGCTAGTATTATCAATGATGAGCATTAGGCATGAACATGAATTACTTGGAACTGGCAGCCATAAACAGGGATTGAACATACATCAATGTCTCCCACCAATCGACCGACCAAAGATTAATCTGATCAATAATTTCATAATTCCTTTCGTCTTTGTCATGTTGGACATTCTGTTTCAGAGATACTCACAGATAGCTCAAACAAGATTGAAAAACTATCGTCCTTTGGCCTCATATCTGACATGTCTGATATGATCATTGCGTCTTTGGTGTTGACGGCGTGATGCGGTTTGGATCGCGGAGTTTGCAAGGTAATTTGAAGGCGGCGAGGGACTGAGAGAATCAGATCAGGGTTGCACGTGGTCATTTTTTATCAATAACAGACACCAATACGTATATGATACGCCGCTATGTGGTTGTCGGGCAAGTCAAGGTTCCAGACGAAATAAACCTCAGTCTGAATATCTGCGATTTGATCACTTGGAAATGCTTTGGCCGAAACCTGAGACTTTGGTTCAACCGTAGATGATACGCGTACACGTATTCAGCTAAGGTATGGGATCGACGGTGAAGTTTAGAATGCGAAGTAGGGCCCTAGCGTCCGCACTCCGGTGGAGATTACCAATCTTTAATTCTCGGTGACGTTTCGTCGGGGCATCTCCAGTACCCGACTATCTGACAAATCCGCGAATTAGAATGTCACTCGAACTCGGCTCGATTCAGCGCCGATGGAACGAGAAAGCGGTTTAGTTGAGTCGCGGGATCTAGTGTTCATCCGATCGAAGCAATGCAACCAGTTCAGTGGGTACCGGCCTTTTGAGGGGTCGTAAAGGAGACTCGGGAAAATTTATTGAAGCTGAAGATGACGATTTTGCGCCGTCTCATTTAAGACCAAAATTTTCCGATCCAGCATTCCAAGTAACAAGTATCAACACCACCGAAGTTTCAAAATTTAAAAAGATGTCAAAGTTAATAGTGGTGTGTGGCGTGACCGGCAACCAGGTGGGCAACTTGAGATGTTCTTCTGTTTCTACGAGTGAATTCTGACCATACTACGAGTACAAAGGGGCGCTCTGTCGCAGAGACATACCTCAAAGAAGCTGGATGGAGGGTTCGTGGAATCACTCGGGATGCAACCAAACCAGCTAGCTTGGCGCTGGCTGCCAAAGGCGTCGAAATCGTTGAAGGCGACTTGGACAATGCAGAGTCTCTGAAAGCTGCTCTTCAAGGCGCCAATGTTGTCTTCGGAAACACCGTGTTTCCCTTTATGTTGGCACTGACCTCGAATCCGCAATTGGAACCCGGACAGTCTATCCTTGAGTGGGCTTACGAACTTGAGGTTCAGCAAGGAAAAAACTTGGTAGAGGCCGTTGCCAAGCTGGACTCGCTTCAACTTTTCATCTGGTCAACCCTCTCAGCGACCCGAAAATGGTCTGGTGGAAAATTCCAGAATGTCTACCACTTCGATTCCAAGGCTGCTGTGGTTGATCACGTGCGAATCTATTATCCTGATTTGTACAAAAATACGTCCATGCTGCAATTAGGTCTCTTCATGACGAATTGGAAGTTTGGTCCCGTTAACATTCCATGGGTGAAGGTGCGTGCATTTTGGATCCTCACGCGCGTGCTCTTCAAATTAGGTTTTTTAGCTGACCAGCAATTATCCGGCTCCAGCGGCGAGATGGCACGATGGTCCTCCGTATGCCAGGAGAACTCAAATATCCAATTCCACATGTTCTCGTTCAGGAAACAGGAGAATACGTCAAGGCACTGGTTCAGGCTTCCCCCGGCATGCATTTGCTGGCTTACTCTGAGTTTTTGACTTGGCCAGACTATGTGAGCCTGTGGAGTAAGACGACTGGAGTTCCGGCAGTATTTGAATCCATTACCATGGATGATATGGAAAAGCTGGCACCGGGAGGCTTTGGTCTCGAAATTGGGGAGATGCACGCATACTCCATGGAATTCGGGTACTGGGGAAATGATCCGTCGATTATATACCCGGAGCAAGTAGGTGCACTATGGTCAAGATTTCGAACGAGACGAAGCTAACAGCCATCCCTATTCAGCTTGGCCTCAAGGGAGAGCTGACCACGATTGCGAATTACATCAAGGGGGAAGACTGGTCTGAATTGCTAGGCCGGCCTGCAATGGATTGACGTATTATAGCTACAGGGCTTGTTTTGCTCGTGAACTAGAATTGCATGTTGCTCTAGACATTTTTAGATGAGGTTATTCTTATTGTATAGTTGCACTAGGTCTCCAATGACGTTAGGTTTGCCGACTGTGGGATGAAGAAAGGCTCGAGCCCGCTGTAGTAACTGGAGGTATATTATCTCAATTGGCAGAAGATGGGATATTCATGACTATTGAAGCGCTGTGAATGTAAGTTATAAAAGGGGGGCATCGTTGAAGTTGTGATGTAAGCCGGCATCGGTATGATCGATGAACCGATTGTCGCCTGCCTCCAGTTTGGCAGCCCGCTTCAGTCGAGCATAATTCCTTAGGGGTTTCCTTTCTGGACCAATTCCGAAGTGGACTTAGGATCGAATGTAAAGCATGACAAGAGAATTTTGCATCTAATGTTGATGAATTTGTAGGGTAAATAAGGTTATAGATTCCAGTTCTCGTCTTCCATTGGGTAGATCTGTATTGACCAAGCAAAGCCATCTCTTTCCAGGTCACCCAAGATGGACCGCGATCAAGAGATACAAATTTGAGGATTGAGATTCATTGCTTGAAATAAGAGTAGACAACTGCAAGGTAAATAGGCACTGTGTTATTCAATAATAAACTCGAGAGCGACTCGGGTTACGATGCAACTGCAACCCTTTTCGGATCAACATCACAGACCAAGTACTGACTTGACAGTCTCATCGATGCTCTCAGTCTTCAAACCTAGGTGATCGTTCCAAATTCCCCCCTTGACGTGCGTATGGTCTTCAAGTCCGCCTTCCCCGAGCACCAACGCCATGATCACGGCCGCGCCGCCTTCCATGATCTCCCCTTTTCCAAGTTTGGAAAATCCGTCTTCCCTGATCGCTTTTGAGCTGACTTCAACTATTTTCCATTTATCACCAGTTATTTTTTCAAGAGAGGCTAGGACCTCGAGTTGAGTAGTTGTGAATGACTCGGTGAAGACAAGCTGATTCTTGGTCTCGTCGGAATGCTTGAGGACTGCAACGATAGCCCGCCCAATCTGTGCCGTGTTACTTGCTGTGAATCGAGTCTTGCCGCCATCTACCAGAGTGGCAGTCTTGGTAGCAAGATTGAAGCCTGTCATCCCGAGCTTCAATCCCTACAGCGATTCAAGAATATCAGCATCTAGACACCCTGGCGAGTCGCTGAAATCAATGAATACAACTAGGGGGCCTTACCCAATCAAAGAAAGGCCCAGTAATGATAGCGGTCCAACTGAGAACATCCTCCTTGCTTGCGAGCCAGTCAAGGTGAGCCTTTTTTGGCTGGAAAAACGGGACGGCTGCAATAACCTCATCAGACTGTAGTTAATGTTAGTTAGAGAATGTGCATTTGGTGCTGCACCGTCTGCACAGAGGAACCCCATACCGTAGAGTCGGATCCATATTCGCTGGGAATAAATCTTCTCACGCCTGCCTTTATGGCAGCCTCAACGATTTTCTGCTGCTCTCCAAGAGCCACAATCGGGAGCATGCTGACAACTGCATCTTGGCCTGCAAGGATCTTGATCAGGGAATCCTCACTGTAGTCGGTTCTGACCACTTTGGCACCCGGGGGAAAGATCGCGGAAGATCCCTCGCGGCTTAGAATGGTCAAGTCTAGGTCAGATTTGAGCAACTCAGGCAGAACGGCCGCGCCGACATTGCCACTGGCCTGCACCCATATCAATCATCAGTAAACTTGGCAACGAGCAACATTGTTGTAGGAACTTACACCAACGAGAGTGACTTTCTTCAGAGACATAGCGTGAGGTTCAAGTTTGTTCAGGATGCATTAAAGATGATGTGCCGATGAAAAAGTCAATGAGGATGGTTCTACTATACGGAGGTTTATGGAAGGGACTTGAGGCCAAGATATTTATCATTTTCAGCCGTACTGAAGATGAACACCTCGACTCATACACAGGCCTTGAGTGAGCTTCGATACAAGTGGCAAGGAATGAAAACCCATGTAGGGTACGCCTTCAAACACGACTAGCCTTACTGGAGTCCTCTATGGTGATCTGAAAATGGCCTTTACTTACAAATCCATCATCCTGCCTACCGTGTTCTTCCAGTAATCCCCCAGGGGCCGACAATAGCCTGTAGAGTTATGAGACTTCATGATGACCGCAAACAGGAATGCTTGCAATTGCCTACAGTCGGCTCATCTAGTGTCCGCTAGTATGCCATAAACGAATTATGCTGGGTGCAGTTGACAGGCCAACCACCTGGCCGGGATGATTAGTAAACAACCAGTCTCCGAATATTTGTCTCGTCTTGAATCGGCTACTTCGTTTTTCCAGAGCCTCCTTTCTGGGAAAGCGACCGCCCCGGCGGAACAGATTACAATTTACAAATATTAGAGTATGGAAATGGCATAAGCCGCTGGATTCAGTCATCTAATGGACGGAATCCAATTCGTCCGAGGGAATTCCACGCGCCAAACTTGATGTCGCGAAGAAAGTCAAAGAACGTAGGCGGACTTTACAAATCGCTCTTTCTTTTTCCAAAGCCTGCCCGCACGTGTTGCTCATCTTCTCGAGTATTTCGAACTCCGTGGATCTTGGGTTTTCATCCATCTATCAAGTTATCTTTGCCTCCTTTCCTAGTGTTCCTATCCCCCACGCCTCAACCTCACGCGCTTCTGAACAACCAAACATTCCTATTAAGACATTCAAAATTGAAAAAAGGCTCAACACCTATCCCGTCTTTCTACCGGATCTGTTCGACTCTTCAAAATGAAGGCTTTGGTGTCAAATCGTAGCACCCCCGCACGAATCTTTAACTTTACCTCGGGAAAGTCCATCTTCAAGGGAGCCCATGTAATCGACGTACCAAAGCCTGTCATCACCGGCCAAGAGATACTGGTCAAGGTGCACTCTGTGGCTCTCAACCCAAGTGACTACAAGCACATTGACGTCATCTCACCCAAGAACTGCATCGTCGGCTGCGACTACGCAGGAGAGGTGATTGAAGTTGGCAAGTCCGCGGTAGAGTCGTGGAAGGTGGGAGACCGTGTAGCGGGTGTTGTCCATGGCGGCTTGCACCACGACAGGGGCGCGTTCGCAGAATACCTCAAGGCCGAAGCAGACCTGGCGTGGAAGATTCCTCAAGGTATCTCGGATGAGGCTGCAGCAACCTACGGTGTCTCAGCCGTCACTGCCGTCTTGGCGATGAACGTGCATCTTGGACTTCCGTGGCCTGATGAGCTAAAGCAAAATCCCGAAGCATCTACGCCGCGACGGACCGTTTTCATCTACGCAGGCTCCACAAGCGTCGGCCTCTTTGCCATCCAGCTCGCCAAGTTAGCGGGCTGCACCGTGGTGACAACTGCGTCTCCACATTCTAATGATCTCGTCAAGAGCTATGGAGCCGACCACGTTTTCAACTACAGATCGGAGAATTGGGTACAGGAAGTCGTGTCGGCCTTCCCAGACATCAGCCTGGCTCTGGACTGTATCTCAGAAAAGGGCACTGGTCCTCTGACGGCCAAAGTACTGCAAGCCAAGGGTGGCAAGGTTGTCACGCTGCTTGATCAAGGAGAGTCAAAAGTTCCAGGTGTCAAGTATGACATGATCATGCTTTATACGGTCTTTGGCAAAGAGTTTTCCTGGCTGCCGCCAATCGGACCCAAGTTCCCGGTCGATTTAGAACATCGTCAGGCTCTCGCGCAGTTCTACGCAATACTTCCACGGCTCACTGAGGTTCTAAGACCTCCCCCCATCAAAGAGATGAGTGGTGGTATTGATATCTTGCTGGAGGAATTAGACCAGTTGCGTAAGGGAAAGGTATCGGGAAAGAAGTTGGTCGTCAGGTTTTAGTGGAATCATAAATTAATCGGTCCGAGTGGCAATTTTATCTGGTGCCGTGAGTGTGACTTACTGATGCATGCCAGGGTACAGTGATGGAACTAGGTACATAGGGGTGTATTGACCGGCATTCTATTCTGCCCCCTTAGTAGATACGTTATATTCACATTAGCCCCGGCTCCTTCTTGATATCCTAAGCTCCGAAGACTCTCGCTATTCATGTCAATCATAACCCAACTGATACAAGTTCTCGCAGAAATCTCGGCACCTCATGTTCGATTAGTTTCCAGTACTAAGACGTGAAACGACCATGGGGAGTAGTAATCGATCAACATCGAAGTCTTCCCCAGTTGATTTCCCTCGCTTTCTTAAAGCTGGAGCCACAACAAGGCGGACTGGTTGATCTCGTCTCCCCGACTCATCTTCCCCTTCCCATTCCATTTGCTCGGGATCAAAGATCATCGGTGTCTCGTAAGTGATCCAATCCACACGTGCAACTTGGCTACAGACTTCCTTATCAAGAGCTAGAGCCTCATGCAGAATCCTCTCAATCTCTGAACCTAGCTCATCATTCTCAACGATGATGAGAGAAGCAACTGCATCCACTATACCGGATGCTATATCTCGTACCGTGTTCTCAATGAACCGCCTGACTGCGGATTCTTTCTTCGCATCGATGGTGTGCAGTATCAAACCTGTCGTCTCTGTACTCCACAGTTGGAAACTCCGACAGGACTCGACGTCGAAACTGGTAATTGGACATCTGGCTTGATTACAATTCATTTCAGTAAAATATTTCAACGTGAAAATGGCACGAAGTCTATCTTCCTACCTTGTCTCATATGGTCATTCAAGACTTGAATGGCCCCAGATAGCTCGGATCCTATCCAAAGGTATCGACCGAATATCTCTGCGGTGAAAATTTCCCACAGATACGCTTGCATAACGCTCGAGCGTCTATTTCCAGACTTTAGTAGGGCGTTACGTACTGTTGTATCATGGACAACCCGGCCGAAGTACTGTAAGAATTTGGATCCCGTGAGTTCGTGGGCTGAACCCCGAGGTCCCATCTTGCCCTCAAAATATCGAATCGCAAGGTCTCGAACATTGTATCGTAGTCTGGTGGCCAGTTCCACTAGGTGGCGATCTGTCACTTCATACAATTCTCTCTTTTGTGACATCTTGAGCCTGTTTAGCTCCTTAGCTGTCTGCTTCCAGCGTTTACGCACATCGGCAAGATCGGCATCTTTCTGCTGCAGCTCGACTTTTAAAGACTCTAGTTTGACCTCCTTCCCATTCAATTCATCCTCCATTCTTTTGTATTCGCGTGTTTTGGGAGTTGGCCTCTGATCCCATGTGTGGCCCAAGCTATGTAGATCGACTTCGGTCGAGGATTCCGATTGCCGAATAGAATTGGTATCAATTGGAGACTACAAAAGTTCAATTTCAAGGTTAGCAAAAACCATCAACTCCATAGTTGTTAGTTTCTTCTGTTAATTGCAATATAGAACAATACATAGTATTTACAGATCTTGATGATTTTCCACACCTCCATGTCAACGAAGGACTCCCGGCTGCCTCTGTATCGAAGGAATCTTGGTACTGAAAGTTGTCATGGCGGGGAAGCTCGCTCCTTGAAGTCGATCGTTCACCATCGCGTGGCCATGTCCGGCGAGTTAGCGGTTGGCCAGATGAGTTGTAAATATTTGAATTCTTCTCTGCCATGGTGAAAAGCTGGGACATAGATGCGAATGGTCCCGTTGACTTGGATATGGACTTGGCAGTGTTGAGAAACAAGAACATTGGATATGATCTCGCCTTTATAGCTTTCAAGGGCCATAGGTGTCGGTGTAATTTCGCCGTAGATAATGGCAGCTCATGGGTGATGAAGGAGCTTCAGCCCGGCGCGAGTTCGGATAAGCTGGCTCTCATTGAACCGACGGCGGGGTATCATCATTCTGCGGGGGTAAAGCAAACCGAGATAGCCCTGTAATATTATTGGGTATACCTATCGATTAGCTTGGTGAGCCTGGCCTGCTGGTGTGAACATGCTCACTTTTTGAATGAAGTTGGTGTGGCGCTCCTTGCATGCATTACGAGGCAAAATCATTTGGGTGGACCACCGTTGGACCGGGCATAGTTACACAAAAAGCGTCCGAGTCCGAGTAGGCTCCCTCTTTCATTGTACTCTCAGACTCCTGATTGATCAGTTAGGAATCGCCAAGCACCAAGTAACCTGGCTGCAGGTCAGCTCCTATTCACCGAACTTCTTTGTGGTGTGATGAAGCAGGCTCAACGGCGTGTAGGCTCCTCGTGTCAGCGAACGCCTCCATTAATTCCGTCGCCTGACAAATTTGATCCTACAGCACGGGGATGGAAGAAACGCGTTGAGTGTGCCAGGGTTTCCCATACCTAAGAGTGCTGCGTGGGACTGCATCTCAAATCTCAGACCTATAGAATGGACAAGGCAACGGAGTTGAGCATTAGGAAATTTGCAGTTGGAACTTGCCGGAACAGTCAATACTAGCCAGGCTAGAGCTTTCTAAGGCGAACAAGAACTACTGCCGGCACAGACTCAATTCAGACGAGAGCCTGATCAAGAACCAATACGTACAGCCTGGCAGCCTGCTGCTTGCATCGGTGATGTTTCCAGTATCCAAACAACGCACAGTAATTGAAGAACAATGATCGCTTCCAGCATCAAGAAGGGCGTAGCTACAGTGCAATTGAGGTAGGTAATGGTTCAAAACGGCATCCGCCAAAGACAACATATATGGAATGCAACAATCAACGGTATATCATGCCCTATATTTCGATCATTCAGTAGCAACTCTTTTGGCGGAGGCATTCTGGTTCATTGTGGTACTTGAAGAAAAGTGAGAACGGTGGTCAGCCCGAAGTGTAGGCGCCCGCCCCCAATGAATATCTTTAGCACAGCCTGCCTTGACAGACACATCTATCTTCTGATCACTCGCCTGCAGGCTGCCAACGTACGTTGAATATTCCTCTCTGTCGACCATAAAAGGCAGCAAAGTTTCCACAATGACCAGCCTCAAATGTGAATCATTGGACACCAACCTGCATCCAGGCCTTCTACTTACTACCTTTCACGTGCTCCATATAGTTCGTCAAAAAAGCATTGCATCTGATCATGCGACCCGCGTACAATGTCCAAGTCCAGGTTAGTCTTCAATGCAATATTCCATTCAACGGAACATAACCTCACAGTGGGCAGGGAAGGGTATCAAATGATGAAGAAGATGATGACTTACTTGTCATTGGAATTGACTTTGGGACGACGTATGTAAATTGAGTTTCTCTTTCTCCTCGTAATTTGAACTTGAGAGTATTGTATTTAACAAAGTGATTCTTGCTTAGTTACTCTGGAGTAGCTTGGGCTACGACTGAAGAATTCGAAAACGACCACATCAATATCATCACCACCTGGCCTGGTAAGGGTCCCGATGAAGGCAAAGCCCCAACAGAGCTTTACTATGACGACGAAATGATGATGTGGGGATACGATATCCCTGATGATGCAGACCCAATCCGCTGGTTCAAACTTCTACTCCTCAAGGACGAAGATCTTGGCCCTGAACTGTGCGCATCTGAATTCATCTTGCGAGGCAAGAGGATGTTGAAAGACTCTGGGAAGACTGCCATTGCGCTCGTGGCGGATTTTCTGCGGGCACTCTTCAATCACGCGATGTATACCATTACTAAGGCAAGAGGGGAAGAAGTCGTTGACGCCATGAGGCTACACATAGTCATCACAGTACCTGCCATCTGGAAGGGTTATGCGAGGCAGGCAATGGAGACAGCCGCGGAGCAGGCAGGCATCCTCTGTTCACGAGTAGCAGGAAAAACTAGATTGACTCTGGCACCTGAGCCCGAAGCCGCGGCTTTATCAACTTTGAGCGAGCCAGGCCGAAAGGTGGGCAAGAATGATGTGTACATTCTTTGCGATGCCGGTGGTGGCACAGTGGTAAGTGTAAACTCTCTTCGATCTTTCAGTTATTGGCCCCGTCTATGTTTGATGTATCTGATTATCATCAGGATCTCATCAGCTACCAAATTGATCAGACCAGACCCATATCGATGCAAGAAGCAGTGGAAGGAACAGGTAACACTATTCATATGACTGAGATTGGACGACTTAAAAAAAAGCTGACAACATTTAATTACTAGGTAGCCTTTGTGGTGGTATCTTTATTGACGAAGCCTTCGAGAGAGCATGCAAAGCTCGCTTGGGCTCCAGATGGAACCATCTGAGTGACACTGGGAAGAAGAGAATTATGAAAAATGAGTGGGAGGCACTCATAAAACCAACATTCGTACCAGATCTTACCCATCGAGAATACATCGTTGAAATACCAGCCGAAGCTTTCAGCGAGTCTAATCTTAACGACTTCTGCAAGGAGCCAGTCATTAAGAACGGAAGGATTCATTTCAAGGAGTGAGTGAACTAAATCTTGAATGACGTCCTTATCAATCAGCTGAGTATAAGAATAGACCTCACATTCAAAGAGCCTTCACAGACTCTTTTAATGGGATTGATGAGCTGGTTACGAAGCAGATTAGAATGGCGACGAGGTCTGGCTTAACAATTACCGTAAGCCGAAAACAAGATACCAACCGCAACACGTTTGAATCACTGACCTGTGCTTCCCTGCGTAGGGAATCATTCTTGTCGGAGGATTAGGCGCCAGTCCATACCTGTATGACCATCTCAAGGAGAAGCATGGGATGAAAGTCTTGCAGTCGGGGGGCATGCAACCGTAAGTGACCATCCATTACTTCACGTGTAGAATTTCAAGAGCGGACCAACCAAGACTGATATTGTGCAAAGACGGACCGCAATTTGCAGAGGGGCAGTTCATAAAGGATTCCTGGATGGCCATCGAGCTGAAGATCAAACTCTTGTCAAGCGCCCTGACCACAGAGTTAAGGTACCTATTCAAGTGACCTCAACAGTATCGAGGTCAAGCTATGGAGTTACTTACCGAGCGGAATTCGATCGGTTCAGGCACCTTCAAGAAGACAAAGAGTTCGACGTCTACTTGGGGGGTTGGAGGGCCAAGAATCAAATGCACTGGTACCTGAGAAGGGTAAATTTCCCCCGTATGTCACCCTGGCGGACCACGAAATTAACTCTCTCAACTTCTTCATAGGGCGAAATTGTTTCTCAGATGAAACCAGTACAATTCTCCTATTATGAGATTTACAAAAAAGACGTAGGAGGCCATTTTTCTGTTGGCATCTGCGAATGCGATGCGGTGGAAGTGCCAGATCGGCGCACATTCCAAGTCAATGACTTTTGCTACATTGATTGCAAGCTCGACGTTCCGTTTTCGAGTTTGCCTGACATCATGACCATCGATGGTACGATGGCCAAGAAGATGACTTATGTGGTGGAGATGATTCCATCGGGGGCGTCCGTGGAGTTTGCTGTCTACATCAATGGTAGGAAACAAGGTAGTCACAACGCCTGCGTCAGGTTTGAGTGATATCTGTCTTTTCCATATTGTAGAATTCCCTGCTTAGATATATCTCAGTTCCAGAAGCTTCTCATGTAAGATGGTCCTCACAACGCGCACACATTATTGTCATTGAAAGTTCATTTACTTCATTATCATGCAAAGAAGTGCCCGTAAAACGCCCCAGACGCCTACCCAAACAACTAATTACAACTTCGACTTGATAGCGATCCTCTTTGGTGATGAGATAGCCGTCTGCTCGCTCATTTGTGCCTTACGCAATGATTCCGTCGTCATCGTCGCCTCAATCCTCTTTCCAAAATACTCAATCTCCACGACGTCGCCCTCTTTCACACTGCTTGGCAAATACGTATAGGCAATAGGCTTCCCGATTGTGTAGCCAAACGCTGCATTCGTAACATACCCGACGGCTTTGCCATCGAGGAACACGGGCTCCTTCCCGAGGACAACGGAGCTCCCGTCATTGATTGTAAGGCAGCGGAGTTGCTTGTTGACCTTGGTATTTGCAAGGCGCTTGATAGCGTCATGACCGACGTACCCTTCCTTGCTAAGATCGATGGCAAAGTCAAGACCGGCCTCAAAAGGATTGTGCTCGGTAGTCACATCGGCGCCATACGTCCTGAATCCAGTTTCCAGGCGCAGGGCACTAAAGGCGCTGCGACCTGCGGCGATGACTCCATGGGGCTGACCAGCCTTCCAAAGAGTATCCCACAGACGCAGACCGTTCTCTGCACTGGTGTAAATCTCCCAGCCGGGTTCACCAACAAACGACAGGCTCACGACAGTAACCGGGAGACCAGCAATGATGGCTGTCCTGACTTGCGACTGAGGCATGTCTTTGAGGTTGTCTGAGCTAATACCAGTGATAATGTCGGCGGCGCGGGGTCCCCAGAGACCAATGCCGCTCGTACCTCCGGTGGTTTCTCGGACCTGAACGAACTGGGCCGGCGACGTCTTGACTTGGAGACGAGCCTCTCGTTCCAAGTAAGCGAGATCAACGGGGCCATTGACGGCAAGCTGGTATAGGTCTTCGCGAAGCCTGGCAACAAAGATATCGCTGAGAACACCACCTTCGTCATCAAGGAGAAGCGTAAAGGTGACATTACCCGGCGCTGTGTCGACATTGCTCGTGGTTAGCCGTTGAAGAAGCTTGGCTGATCCGGGTCCAGAAACTTCCAACCGGCGGATTGGCGTGAGGTCGTACATTGCGGCCGCTGTCCGCGTCTTCCAGGCTTCTGCGGCAGCAATGTCGGAGTAGTACCTCGCTGACCAAGTATCGCGCTTCTTTGGCTTCCACTTGTCAGGCAGCTGGCTGACAAGCGCGGCGTTGGCTTCAAACCACTGCGGACGCTCCCATCCCCCTGCCTCGAGGAAGTAAGCGCCAAGCTCCTTCTGACGGGAGTGAAACGGGCTGACGCGGAGGTTGCGCGGTGACTGGCGCGGCTGAAGAGGGTGCAAGATGTCATAAACTTCGACAAAGTTCTGCGTAGAGACCTCCTTGACATACTCGGGCGCGAGTTGAATTTGTTCAAAGCGAGAGATGTCGCACTCTCCGAGATCGACCTCGGACTTCCCGGTGGTTAGAAGCTGGGCTACCGCGCGAGCAACACCGGCGGAGTGTGTCACCCAAACTGCTTCTGCAACAAAGAACCCTTCCAAATTGGGCGCTCTGCCGACGAGGGGACCACCGTCTGGAGTGAAAGACATGATGCCGTTGAAGCCGTATTCGATCTCGGTTTCGGCGAGGGCAGGGAGGAGCTTCTTGGTGAGTTCCCATGCCGGCTTAAAATCATCTGGGGTGAAGTCTAGGCGCGATGGCATATTGTGCTCATCGACATGCTTGGGCGTCTCGCCAAGCGAGGCAGCGACTACGGGAAGAGGACGGTGACCGTAGTAGCCAATGCCATACTGTTCACCATGTTCGCGGTAGTAAAGATCCCGATCCTGGTGGCGAAGAATGGGTAGTTGAGCGCCATTCACCTCAAGCTTCTTCCCCTTCTGCGCTGGCACTGGAGTCGTCTTTGCGTACTGGTGGCCGACGGGCAGCAGTGGGATCGGTAGGTCGATCATGGCACCGACCTCAACGCCCCACAAGCCGGCACACGCGATGACGAGATCGGCGGGAATCGCACCGTTCTTCGTCTCGACGCCTGTGACTCGGCCCTGGCTCCGCGTGATGCCCGTGACCGGGGTGTGCTCAAGATAACGGACACCGGCTTTCCGAGTGCGCTCGATAAGCACTTGAACTGCACGGGCAGCCAATGCAAGACCATCGGTTGGAATGTGCAGGCCGCCAAGGACCACATCTGTGCTGATAAGGGGGTAGATCTTCTTGACCTCGTCGGCGGTGAGCAGATGGGCCTCAATGCCCCAGGAGGAGGCATAACCATGTTTCCTCTTGAGTTCCTCGAGTCTCTCTGGTGTTTCTGCCACTTCAAGGCCGCCAACTTGGTTGAAACATTCTATTGAGAGCAGTTTTTGTACCGTGTATTTTGCAAAGGAGCTCATAGTCTTGGAACCGGTGGTTTGGAAAACAAGACCGGGGGCATGAGATGTTGAGCCACCCGGCATAGCCAATGGCCCCTGCTCGACCACTGTGATGTTAGTCCACCCCCGCGAGACCAGCTCATCAGCGATGTTGGTACCGACTATGCCGGCCCCGATAATGACGACGCGCTGTGAGGGATCCATGATGTATGTGTGTGAATGTGTGAGTCCTTCTTGTCTGGTGACAAGGGAAAGGAGATGTAAATAACAATGATGTATTACGGATTTAAAAGAACCCTTCTGGTGATAACCCCTCGAGATGATAGCATCGTGTACAGTTGCAAGACGGTTTATAAGTCACCCATGCCCGTCTGGGATACCCCGATTCAGTCTAGCCTCATCGTCGGTGTGGAGAACCTGGAGAACAGACATGGAGCCTGCTATAGGTAGATAGCAGCACCGTAGATGTGGCCCGGAGAGCCCAAGACGGCGGTCACCTGATCGGTTTCTTGGAGCCGATGCCGTCCGTGTTGGCCGATGCGTGTGGCCCCCAGAGGAACCCAAACATACTTCACACCTCCATGATATTGATCCATCAACACCACGTTCGCAAAGGCTTATCGCCACATAGCCTCACTTGCGCTTGATTCGGTCATGATATGGTCACCTTCGCAACCAGAGGAAGATAGCGGGCGCAACCAGCTTGCTGCGCTTGCACTTGGAACTTGGCCTGTTGCCAACATTCACCATTGTTTTGCAATACCAACCCCCCTAGGGTTGGACGAGCGAGGCCGGCTCACATCAGCCGGGGGTGGGGGGGTTCGTGTTCTCTGCTCCGAACTCGGCCACTCCGCCGGTGCCCTTCCCCCCGGCCATCATAACCTTCGGGTGTTTGGCCTTATCAGGGTCATCGTGATCGTGACATGTCTGATGCTCTTTATGGATCATCGCGAGAAAGATAACGTTTCGAGAGTTGGAAGGAAGATGAGTCTTTGACGTTCCATCTAAGGTACTGTTGGGCATCAACCGGTTTGCGACCAAGCTCCGACGTTGGACATCCACCCTCTCCTGCATCGCCTCCCATCATCACACAGTACAACTTGTGCTTGCTCGTGCATTTCCTTTCGCTGTAGCCATTGTGCAATCAGTAAGATCCAAACGTGCAGCCAAGAGTCCTGACGCGCAGACCAGCCCGTCTCAATCGAATCCTTAATTGTGCTTGCAAAGTTGCGATTACCACAATCCCTTCAGGCAAGGCGCCGTTCATCCAATTCCCGACTATTGCGATACCAGAGCCTGCTATAAGCAAGTGTCGGTGAGAGTCTCGCCAACCGGCCGCTGGAGATTCGTCCGAAAAGTCGACGATCAGACGCAAGCAATTGGACCATCATGACAGGACCTGATATCAGCATCGCATTGGTTTCCGCCGAGTCGGGCTCCTGTCGAAACGAGCCAAAACACGACTGCACACCTTACGGGGAGCCCATCACCCCGTGACTGGGAAGGATGGAAACCTTCCATGTAGTCATTGTGACCAAGAATTCCTTGTCGCCCTTATGTGGTATCAGCAACATCTGCCTCACATTGAAAGTCCCAACCTTGTCGTTTGCCCACCGCACTTCGCGTTACGGATCGTGCGCTGGCAATTCAGTCGGCGGGAGTGGGATGTTTGGCGCACCGAAGCTGACATTCGGAGTGTCTTGCCCGCTTGAGTCATGCTATCGCAGCCCTGCTCTTGTGCGATGTGGGGATAACAAATGAGCAGAATAACGCGTCCTCAGTACCCTGGTGATCCTCAAGAGCGGATTATTCGAGCTCAGAAGAAGATCATCATTGACCTCTTTGGCGCTTCGTTGCCAGCCTGGGGGGCAAGTGCTTTGCACCGGGTTCCATTACAGCGACAGAAGAAGTGGTCCATGCCAGTCGATATCCGGCTTCTACAAGACAGGGGGTACCGCCATCTCCAAAACCGCAAGGCTATGAATGCAACTGTGCATCAAAAACGGGTTGGCTCAGGACCCTGATCTTGGCATGCCTGGCAGAGGGAAAGCTAGACGCTTGAGGGGGGGTGAAGAGGACCAGCCGTTGGGAGCAGACGAACACCTCTTCGAGTCTCTGTTTTCTTCCTGCCGAATATAAGCCAGACAAGCGGCGGACTTGTGCGCGCCAGGCAAATCAAATGAGCGAATGTGTGCCCTGTCATTCCCACTGAACTTGTAAGGGTTGGTTGGCATGTTCGGGGCCAAGGAGACTGACCCATCGAGCAGTCTAGAACGATCTTGGTCGGACGGGACATGACCTATCACTCCGAAGCCTTTTCTAACCGCTCTGCAACCCCAACGAGCCAGGCTACCCGGCTACCCCATCCGTGACATCCCCGATTTGCCTTTATCCAAAAAGTTCATCTAAAACGAGAGCTTGATCCCTGCCTACTCCCCCGCATGATCCACCGCATTCGGGGGCTCACCAAGGAAGCGCCGTTCCAAGTCCGTAAGCCGCCTGGCGTCGCGTTTGCATGGGCTGTGGGTTTCTCCTCGGTGACTTACCTGAGGTGAGGTGGTTCATATTACCTAAGAATTACTCCATCGTGGCCTCTTGCTTGGTGTTTTGGTGCCCTCGTG